CTTATGAAGATTGGCCCTGGGCTAACATCTGTGCCCATCTTCTTCTACTTTATATGGGACGCCACCACAGCATGGCTTGACAAACAGTGCGTCGGTGCGCACCTGGGATCTGAACCCGTGAACCTCGGGCCGCCGAAGCAGAGCGCGCGCACTTAACCACTTGCACCACCGGGCCGGGCCCCTCACAACTTTCTAATACAGAAATGTTCACGCATCTATAAAATGGACAGAAAGGTACTGGGAATGCCCATGTGCCCCTGATCATCAGCTTCGTCTTGGCTTTGTGGCTCATCTATAGTCTCACCACTTTCCCTCTGCTCCCACGCTGGTTTTTTGTTGTTGTTTTTTGTTTTTTAACAGCTTTATTAAGGCATATTTTGCATACCATAAAATTCACCCATGTCAAGTGCATGATTCAGTGATTTCTAGTAACTTTTCCAAGCGGTGAAATCATCACCATAACTCACTTTTAGAACATCTTCATCCCCCTAGTAAGGTCTGTCATGTCCTTTTACAGTTAATGCCCATACCTACCTCCAGTCTAGGCAACCACTATTGAATTTAAACAAAATAGAATTTAAAATTCAGTTCCTCAGTCTCTCTAGCCATGTTTCAAGTGCTCAATGGCCACATGTGGCTAGCGACTACTGTATTGGGTAGAGCAGATATACAACACTTCCATCATCAGAGAACCTTCTAGTGAACAGTGCTGAACTATAATGTACATAATTAGAAATGCAGAGACAACTTTGAAAAAAGGAGGCAAATTCAACAGGGTGTGTGAACAATGGGAAGAATAAGCAAAAATGGGTGGGGAAAGCTCCCCAGGCACAAGTTGTCAAGCAGAGGAAAAATCAAACGTAATACGCAAAGCAAGAGAGGAAGGGAGTGTTTACAGCCAAAGAAAACAAGATGCAACAACCCAAAGAGATGACAAAAAGAACATGAGACAGAAATTTTAAATAGCAGAGTCAGGGCCAGGGAAACACGAAGGTAATCCTTTCTTCTAGCTCCTGGTCAGGCTTGAAACAGCCACGGCCAGGTTCAGAGAAGGAGCCAGGACAGACACTTGACCATCTTTCCTGATGAGAGGCAGACTCTTTTAGCCCCTCCTCCAGCCCTCTTTAACCCAACAACAAAACCAATATGTTTTCCTCACGTTGCCTGGTGCTGCTTAACTTCAAGTGAAATTAAACGACCACACATCTATAAACACTTTCAGTTTAGACTCTAAGAGTTAGTTACAGCCGCTCTTAAAGTCTCTGAAATTGTTTACAATATCCCAAGTCAACTAGTGTACTCTATCAGAAACTCTCAATAGTAAATCGTTCATTTATTTACTTGACAAATATTTATTATGTGCCAGGTTAATGCCCTACTATGCACTGGAGACAGAGCCGTGAACAAGAAAGGCAAAGGTTCTTCCCACAGGAGGCTTATAGTCTAGGAAATCATGCATTTTGTTGCAAAAGTTTACAAAAACAAAAACATGCAAATCGTGAAGTGCTGTAGAGTTAAAATGAATAACAACTTGTAAATGAAATGACAGGAAATTTTTAACTTAAAGCCCTAGCCCACGAGACCCTGCAATCTAGAACTCCAACACATAGCCATTACAATTACTAATTTTCTGTATAGCCCAAATCTACAAATGATTAACCTTGATAACAAACAGTCCAAATGATAGCTTTAACTACATTTAGATGGACCATGTTTCACTCTAAAACACAACCAAGTTTCGAGGTACTTTGTACTTTGCAGTTCCATCCCAAGAATGAAATGTTTTTCTGATCTCTCATTATAATTAAACATAGCCTCTTTCTTTCCTAACCACATAAAACAAACTTCAAAAGATACATACCTTATTGTTCTCATGATCTCCACTCACAGCTATGGGATACATAACATATTTTCCTCCCTGGTCCTCATTTGGGGCACATTCTGCTAGACCATCCGGATCATGTTCTGCTCCAAAATTGTGCCCCAATTCATGAGTTGTAACCAGGTCAGCTTCCTTAAAGATCACACAAAGAAAACATTACTTCCCAATACCCAATCATCACGTGCTTTGGCCAACTGGGTCCTGCTGTCTTAAATGGGGTCCTGATCAATCAGATTAACAGCAGAATAACAGTTAGACTATGATTTCTTCTATCAATTACAGAAATTAAAGAGAATAAGGATTTTACTTAATACTATTAAACAGTATTATAAGACTGAATCTAAATCAACTTAAGAAAATATAACTTACAAGACATACTGGAATTCTTTTTTTTTTTTTTTGGCTGAGGAAGATTCGCCCTGAGCTAACCTCTATGCCAATCTTCCTCTATTTTTTAGTATGTTGGCTGCCGGCACAGAATGGCCACTAACAGAGCAATGTAGGTCCACGCCCGGGAACTGAAACTGGGCTGCCAAAGCAGAGCACACTGAACTTAACCACTAGGACACCAGGGCTGGCCCTGGAACATTCTTAATGAAACACCAAACACTGGCCATTCCAAACACTGTCTGGCTCTGATAAATCGAATAGCTAATTGTAGTCAATTACCCAAGCCTCCCCTGCTCCCCTCATCCCAATCACACTCCTGTTAAAATCTAAGCATCTGGAAGGGAGTGGAGAGCAAGGGGTGAAAAACAGGACAACTGAGAAACAACAAAACAATGTTCCTTATCTCAGTGACTGAATTCAAGCCCAATGACAACCTTAATGACCTAGAGGATTTCATTTATTAGAATCCAGTTAAAGGGCTGTACTGAAGCTATCAGATCACCAGAAGATTTCTAGCTGAATACAATAGCGAATTTAGCTGGTAGAGTTGAAATTTTTTCCCCATATTTATCTGCATAAAACAACAAATTTAAACTACTGATTTTCTCCCCAGGGTGGGGGGGGGGCCGGAATCACTCCATGGAACCTGAAAAATGTATATTTTGCAAGTCAATGGAATTTGTTTTTAAGACAGTCTCAATTCTGAAGCCAATACCCTGAAGCTTTCCACACATTTATATTAAAATAGTAGAAGGGGCCGGCCCCGTGGCTTAGCGGTTAAGTGCGCGTGCTCCGCTACTGGCGGCCCGGGTTTGGATCCCGGGCACGCACCTACGCACCGTTCATCCAGCCATGCTGAGGCGGCCGTCCCACATACGGCAACTAGAAGGATGTGCAACTATGACATACAACTATCTACTGGGGCTTTGTGGAGAAAAAGGAGGAGGATTGGCAATAGATGTTAGCTCAGGGCCAGTCTTCCTCAGCAAAAAGAGGAGGATTGGCATGGATGTTAGGTCAGGGCTGATCTTCCTCACAAAAAAATAAAAAATAAAAAATAAATAGGAGAGAAAATTTTGAATTTTTAGCAAAAAGTACTCAAATCCCAAAAGTGTAATGTGGAGAATTCCAAATTGTGCTTTGGAAAAAATCATCAGTGGATTCTCTAACAGACCGACGCTGTAAAAGCATCTCAAGAATTTCAAAGTAAACTTATTTTTTGCTCTACATGTCTTATAATAGATAAATTCTGGATAAACCGAGGAAAATATGTCATGAAATCAAACCAGTGAAGATGCTGTGATACCAAAAAGGTAAAGGAGCACCATAAGAAAAACTTTTTGGAAATTAAAAGTTTTCTAAAAACCAATTAGTATATTTTTCTTCTCTCATCCCATTTTTTTTTTTTTAAATCAACCGAAGTCCATAGTTTACATTAGGGTTCACTCTTTGTGTTGTACATTCTATGGGTTTTGACAAACACATGTCTTATATGCAACATTACAGTATCATACAGAATAGTTTCACCACCCTAAAAATCCTGTGTTTACCTATTCATCCTTTCCTCCACTCCTGACAACCACTGATCTTTTTCTGCCTCCATGGTTTTGCCTTTTTTAGAATGTCATATAGATGGAGTCATACAGCAGGTGCCTTTTCAGATTAGCTTCTTTCACTAGGTAATATGCATTTATGGTTCCTCCATGGCTTTTCACGATTTGATAGCTTTTTTTTTTTTTTAAGTGCCAAATAGTATTCCATTGTCTGGATGTATCACAGTTTATTTATGCATCCACCTACTGAAGGACATCTGGGTTGCTTCCAAGTTTTGGTAATTATGAATAAAGCTGTTATAAACATGTGTGTGCAGGTTTTTGTGTTGACATTAGTTTTCAACTCCTGTGGGTAAATACTAAGGAGCGTGATCGCTGGATCATATGCTAGAACATTTAGTTTTGTAAGAAACCGCCAAACTGTTTTCCTAAGTGATTATCCATTTTGCATTCCCACCGATAATGTATGAGAGTTCCTGTTGCTCCATATCCTCCCTACCATTTGGTGGTGTCAGTGTTTTCAATTTCAGCCATTCTAATAGCTGTGTAATGGTATCTCGTTGTTTTAATTTGCAATTCACTAATGACATAGGATGGCGAGCATCTTTTCATATGCTTCTTTCCCATCTGTATATCTTCTTTGGTGAGGCGTCTGTTAAGATCTTTTCCCTATTTTTAAATCAGGTTGTTTGCTTTCTTATTGTTGAGTTTTTAGTGTATTCCTTGTATATTCTGGATAGCAGTCCTTTATCAGATATGCATTTTGCAAATATCTGCTACCAGTCTGTGGCCTGTTCCACTTTACATTTTTATAGTCCAGGAAACGCCAATATTCTTATTCTTCAATATTCATTTTATGTTTCTCTGTTCCTTTCTTTCTTCTGTCTTATTCTTTCTACAGAGTCATGATATTTTCATCTTAACTATTCTTCAGTCTTCAAACTCTAAAACTTTCTAACATGCTTCACTTTCTTTTTTATTGGGTGGGGTAGGAGTTGTTTTTTGTTATGTGGCAGACTTTTCAGGTTTGGGAACATGGAAGGATTTACCTTACGGCAGCACAAAAACCTGAAAACTGAACACCAGCCTGAAGACTTCAATAATTAATGTTTCAATCTCCCACACAATTTATTTTTCTATCACTCTGCAATATTGCTACTCTTTTGCCAATACTTGAATTGATGGCCTTTGTTTAACTTTTTTTATTTTTGAGAGTTAAAATCAATTATGGGAAACTTTCATTTAAAGAGTGTATACTGCATTTACCTCTACTTTTTCATGAAATCCCACTAAAACAATAGTAAAAGAATAAAGACAACATAAGGCAACAAGGACAAGAACAGGGGAGGGGACAACAGCAGACGACAGATGCCAACAAAATTTTGGAAGGTAAAAGTAAGTACATGAGTTAGAGAGAAAATAAAATACTATAACCATGAAGCTATAAAAAGAAAATAGGAAAAAAAGGGCTACTGAAAACAAAAAATGTTCACAGGAATAACAAATTCAAAGAAATAGCTGAAAATAAAGTTGAGGACATTGCCTAGAAGACAAACGGAAAACAGGAGAAAATATTAAGAAAAATCAGATCATCATGCTAGGAGATCAAGTATCTGATTTAATGCCATTCCAGATAGAAAAAAACAGAGGACAAAAATTTATCAAATAAATTTTGCATAATTTAAAAACATGTGTCTCTAGATTAAAGGGCCCACCTGCCCAGAACTGTGGAATAAAAATACCTACACCAAGTGTAACATCATGGTCAAACTACCAGTGTATCAGATACTACTATTTCCTACCACTACCCATTCTCCCCTTCTTCCTTACTTAAAGAATACTAACTCTGGGCCGGCCCCGTGGCTTAGCGGTTAAGTGCGTGCGCTCTGCTGCTGGCGGCCCGGGTTTGGATCCCGGGCGCGCACCGACGCACCGCTTCTCTGGCCATGCTGAGCCCGTGTCCCACATACAACAACTAGAAGGATGTGCAACTATGACATACAACTATCTACTGGGGCTTTGGGGGAAAAATAAATTAAAAAAAAAAAAATACTAATTCTGCTCAGGCAGCAATGTACTCAGCCAAAATAGCCACTTTCCCACACTCCCTTAGGATATGGGCAGTCATGTGAGCCACTTCCACCCACTGAGACATAAACAGAAGCCAGTGGGTGGAGCTGCCAGAGAAGCCTTTTAAAAGAAACAGAGGGAGGCCGGTCCCATGGCCTAGTGGTTAAGTCTGGCATGCTCTGCTTTCGCAGCCTGGGTGCAGTTCCCAGGTACAGACCACTCGTCAGTGGCCATGCTGTGGCGGTGACCTACATACAAAAGAGAAGAAGACTGGCATAGATGTTAGCTCAGGGCAAATCTTCCTCAGAAAAAAAATTAATTAATTAATTAAATTAAACTTAAAAAAATTTAAAAGGAACAGAGTAGGCTAGCTATGGTCTCTCTGTCCTCCTTTCTGCAACAGAGAAGAGAACCATCATGTGACCATGAGGTGATGACCATGACAAAGGCCTCATGCTTAGAATGGCTAAGTGAAAGTTGGGAAGATGCTGATCCCTGAGAGCATCACTGAGCTGCTGTAGCACCCTTATAATGCTATTCTTGAACTTCTTGTTGATCAAAGCAAATATACCCCTTATTTAAGCAACTATTAATTGGATTTTCTGTTACGTGGATTCCTGGTATGTGCCTAACACATTCCTAATGGATATACCTGGGCAAAAACAAAATCCTAAAATCTCCCAGAGGAAAAAACAGGTCACACACAAAGGATAAAAAACTGGAATGACTTTGGGGCCAGCCCAGTGGCACAGTGGTTAAGTTCGTATGCTCTGCTTCAGGGGCCGGAGGTTTGCAGGTTCGGATCCCAGGCATGGACTGACACACCACTTGTTAAACCATGCTGTGGCGGTGTCCCATATAAAGTAGAGGAAGATGGGCATGAATGTTAGCCCAGGTCTAGTCTTCCTCAGCAAAAAGAGGAGGATTAACAATGGATGTTAACTCAGGGCTAATCTTCCTCACAAAAAAAAAAAAATGGAATGACTTCAGACTCTTTAACAGTAACACAAAACACTAGAAGACAATGGAGCAATGCCTTCAAATGCCAAGAGAAATGAGAACACATCCCGCTAAAATTATCAATCAAGTTTAAGAGTAGGGTAAAGACATTTTCAGATATGCAAAAAAATCTCAAGAATTTGCCTCTCATGTACCCTTTCTTAGGAAGCTCCTGGAGGATACGCTACACCAAAACGATGGTACAAATCAAGGAGGAGGACGTGGGCTCCAGGAAATGAGAGTTTGGGGATGTCTTCAAATGACAGCTATGCTGTAGGACTAGGAAATAAGTAACCCACAGAGGAGCTGCAGGATGAATGTCTTCAGGAAAAACACTGATCCTGATGGGTCTCAAAAGAAGTTTGACAGGTAACTTTATTTTCTTCTTTATACTTTTTATTTTCATATTTTCCACCAAAAAACATTTTTTTAGGCAGAAACAAAAAATCGGTATGTTTTACTTTTTTAAAGGATACCTACATAAATATATAACGGCTGAGGTTCTACTACAATAAACTCAAAATCTACCTTTTTAAAAAATAAAAGAACATACCTTTGTAAGGATGGTTTTACCATAATTTTTTGTGCTGGTCAAACCACTATTCAAATAGATATTTTTCTTTCCAATTGGACTATAATAAGCTAAAGAAAAAAGGAAGCAGAGACAATTTGCTTGTTCAATACAGAATTATAATATAACCCAATCAGCTTGCTATTCCCACATATTCACACAACAAATGGAAAACTTACCCTTTGGACAAACACCTCCATGACTGTTTGCTCTGGGAGAACCAACATAAGCTAATCCAAGAGTTCCCATATCAAAATCTTGATAGGTGAAAAGATGTGCTAGGCAGACTTTAGATGCTTCTTCAGCTATATCAAAGCTAAATTGCTTTAAAAAAAAAAAAAAAAAAGTATTCTTAGATTGACAATTACATCAGACTAAGAGACATTTCAACCAGATATTCCAGAACAGTACCATATGATTGACTGCAGCTCTGCACCAGCAACCACAAAATCATGTAGTACAATGCTCCTTACCTATGGTGCTCACTCACCTACGCAGGTGAGAACCAGACTGTCGTCTGGTGAGGAGAGGGGTGGGCACAAAAGGAAAGAGCTTGGGAGCCTTTTACAGCAGCTCAGAGCTAAGAGGACTGGTGTGAAGACCTGTAGTCCAGCACTGGGGTCATTCCAATTCTGTAAGGCTCAGGGCTCTGAAACCTCTTCCAGGGGATCTCAGCACCACATACCAAAACAGAGCCCTCTAAAGTATTTAGAAGATTCTATTCCTTTTGTAGGTTTTTAAAGTTTGTTTTGGTTTTACAATATATAGGAGTTATAACTATAAACTTATAGGAAAGCACACACAGTTAGTTTTATGTTACTAAAATTAAGATAAAAATCCATTTCAGCCAGCACTGGTGCTTTGGGAGGATTTTTTTTTTTTCTTAAAAGGGCTCCACAAATTACTCTAAACATCTCTACCATAATAGACCAGAGACTCTAACATAAAAAGACTTTGATTTTTAAAACTCTTAAAATGAGCAGTCAGAAAGCTCTGTATGAGGAATGAGGTATTCCCAGGAGATGTCTCCCCAGCCACATGGGGATTTTCATAGTTCCGTGGTAACAGGGTAAGGCTTCTGGGACTCTGCTAGGAAACTTAGAGAAGAAAACTGGAGAGGAGCATCTGTAGAGTCAAGTCATTCCCTCTTGTTCCTCCCCTGATGTGGGCTATCTGGAAGCCCATAGAAAAGGAGAGAAGTGTGATGGTTCAGCTGTCCTAGGAGTCAGGAGATCTGGCCACTTGACTCTGGCTCTGGTACTAGTTGTATAACCATGGACAAGTCATTTAACCTTGCTGTTATGGGCTGAACTATGTCCCCTCAAAATTCTATGCTGAAGTCCTAACCCCCAGTACCTCAGAATGTAACTGTATTTGGAGATGGGGTCTTTCAAGAGGTAATTAAGGTAAAAAGAGGTCATGGGGTGGGCCTAATCCAATATGACTGGTGCCCTTAATAAGAGGAGCTTGGGACACAGACAGACACAAAGGGAAGACCATGTGAAGACACAGGGAGAAGATGGTCATCTACAAGCCAAGGAGACAGACCTCAGAAGAAACCAACCCTGCCAATATCTTGATCTCAGACTTCCAGCCTCCTGATCGTGAGACAATAAATTTCTGTTGTTTAAACCCGCTAGTCTGTGGTACTTTGTTATCGGCAGCCCTAATAGACTAATATGCTTGCTGAGTCTCTCTAGAAGAGGGATGGTGCTATCTCAACCTACCTCTCAGGGTGGCTAGTGGATCAAATCAGACAAGGCATGTCAGAGTACTATACAGGTACAGCACTCTATGGATCTCAACCTGGACAAAGCATTGACAATATCCTTTAATTCCATTCAAGCTCTGAAAACTTGATTTCAGCCTTGTGAGACTCTAACCAGAGAATCCAGATGAGCCATGCTGTGCCTGGACTAACCTAAGGGAACTATTTGATAAAGAAAAGTGTTGTTTTAAGCTGCTAAATTTGTGGTAGTTGGTTAAAGCAGCCATAGGAAACTAATACATTACTAACATATTAAAAGATAAACACTATCACTTCATAGATAATTTTACGACATAGCAATAGTACACACAAACTCAGACACTGACATCATGTGGCAAACAGGATAAATCATATCCTGTCAAGGCAAGAATCATATGGCATACAATGTTTAAGTTAACTAACTTTATTTTATTTTATTTTATTTTTTTAAAGATTTTATTTATTTATTTTTTCCCCCCAAAGCCCCAGTAGATAGTTGTATGTCATAGCTGCACATCCTTCCAGTTGCTGTATGTGGGACGCGGCCCCAGCATGGCCGGAGAAGCGATGGGCGCCGGGGATCCGAACCCGGGCTGCCAGCAGCGGAGCGCGTGCACTTAACCGCTAAGCCATGGGGCCGGCCCTAAGTTAACTAACTTTAGATTACCAGAATAAAAATACAAAAATTTTAAATTCCTGCAGAGAACCTTCAGATGTCCAAGTCATATTTCTACCGTTTAATACATTTTTATACCATTTGATAATTACTGACCTAAGAGATCCACTGATAAGTTTCAAAGAGACCCGAATTTAAAAAATGGTATGCAAAACATTTATATATTGGGTATCCGTCTATTTTCTAAAGCCCCATTACTTCATTCGATTCTCAAAGATATTTAAGGTTAAGAAGCATTGCTTCCTAGCATTTTTCACTTTCACAGTTTTGCCCATCTTGCTGTTTGCCCTGCTACAGGGGATGAAGTCACTGTAGGATCAGCTGCGGTGGGCTGCTCCTGGTTTTCAATTACTTTTTCTAATATGCCCCTTCCTCAATGCAGCAGGACCCATATATTAGAAATCACAACGTGGTGTTAACAGCATTATATCCAGGATTCCAGAACCTACCTCTAGCAACATCTTCACATCCCAAGCATCCTTTTCTTCATTTGGATAACTTTTCGCCATATTGTAGTGCCTTTCACCAGGTTTTACCTCTTGTGGAGACTTGAGAATGCGAATCTATACTTAAAGAGATAATATACTTAGAACACTTCAGAAAAAAGTCACAAGACTCTGAAATAATACTGCATTTTAGCTATTGGAAAAAAAGACCATCTACCATTCTAGAAAAAATATTTTAGAACCAAAATTGCATAAAATTCTTCAGCTCTAATATACAGTGTTTAAAAACAAACTGAGAAGCATATGGTATGGAAAACATGTATGCCAATGAATGATTTGTAAATCTATAAATGTATTCCTAAATTTTTATTTCTTCTACATTTAGTTGGAAAAAATGAAAACTTGGGTTCCATGAGCCTAAAATATTTATTCCAATTAAAGTCAATGATTCAGAGATATAGAACAATAAGATGTACACCACAGAAATAAAACAATTATAAAAAATAGGGGCTTTTGCTTGTACATATAGTACAAATTCATATTAATCCTGCTTAGGGCCGGCCCCGTGGCTTAGCGGTTGAGTGTGCGCGCTCTGCTACTGGCGGCCCGGGTTCGGATCCCGGGCTCGCACTGATGCACCGCTTCTCCGGCCATGCTGAGGCCGCATCCCACATACAGCAACTAGAAGGATGTGCAACTATGACATACAACTATCTACTGGGGCTTTGGAGGGGGAAAAAAAAAGGGAGGAGGATTGGCAATAAATGTTAGCTCAGAGCCAGTCTTCCTCAGCAAAAAGAGGAGGATTGGCAGATGTTAGCTCAGGGCTGATCTTCCTCACACACACACACACAAAAAAATCCTGCTTTACAAAAAAAAGGAACAAAGGCTTCTCTCCAAAGGAGATGAACCCTACAGATTGGCAAGTTTGGGAAAAAGAACAAAGTCATGCTCAACTCAGCCGTTTCCAGCATCCCTTCTGGATCTGCCTGCCTGCAGCGGGTGTGTTCTGGCCTGCTCTGCCACCACACGGGTGCGCTCATGGAGGCAAACCGCAGCTTTAGTGGTGGGTGGTGAAGATCAATTCTGGGATGAAACACGGGAAGCCCACTGTGACTGCATATCTAAACCACATCCTCTAATCCATTTGTTATGTTTATTTATTTATTTATTTTTTTGTGAGGAAGATCAGCCCTGAGCTAACATCCATGCTAATCTCCTCTTTTTGCTGAGGAAGACTGGCTCTGAGCTAACACCTATTGCCAATCCTCCTCCTTTTTTTTCCCCAAAGCCCCAGTAGATAGTTGTATGTCATAGTTGCACATCCTTCTAGTTGCTGTATGTGGGATGTGGCCTCAGCATGGCCGGATAAGCGGTGCGTCGGTGCGCGCCTGGGATCCGAACCCGGGCTGCCAGTATCAGAGTGCGCGCCCTTAACCGCTAAGCCACGGGGCCAGCCCCCATTTGTTATCTCTAAAGAAGCCGATATTTTTATCTCCTATCTCATACTTATTTTTTCAATTGGTTCCAAGTTCCTAAGGCAAAAAGGAGCTTTATTTGCTGGTTTCCTAAAATTCAAATATCATGCAACTATTTTAAACGAGTCAGGCAGCTTTATATGTACCATAATGGACTAATCACCAACATATTCATGAAATGAAAAAGCAAGGTGCAAAAGGGTACAGCATACCACCAATGTGTCAAATACACACATATACATACACATGCTGTCCAGGCATAAAATCTCTCTGCAAAAATATATATGAAACTAGTGAATGGGTGTCTCTGGGGAAAGGAACTGGTCTGACAATGGGTAGAGGCTGAGGAGATTTACTTTTCACTGGCTTTTGTACCATGTGTATGTATTACCTATTCAAATAATAACTTAAAAAAGAAAATTCAAAACAGTAAAAGAGAATGGAAAAAGGACAAATAATTCTCTTAGTTTTATACAAGTACTATAAAAGTTCAACATTTATAAGTATGATGCATGATTTCAAGTTTTTTTTTTTTTCCCCCCCAAAGCCCCAGCAGATAGCTGCATGTCATAGTTGCACATCCTTCCAGCCGCTGCATGTGGGACGCGGCCCCAGCACAGCCGGAGAAGCAGTGCGTCGGTGCACGCCCGGGATCCGAACCCGGGCCACCGGCAGCGGAGCATGCGCACTCAACCGCTAAGCCACGGGGCCGGCCCTCAAGTTTTTTTTTATCTCTAAATTCTATACTCCAGAATCTATAATAATATGGTTAATTTAGTACAAAGAGCCTAGAAAAAATAAAGACAATAATTTCCACAATTTACATATCAAAATGTCTGTCCAAAGCAATATTCAATTTCAGAACAGTCTTTTTTAATTAGCCTTATGAATCTGGAACAATGTTTACTAAGCAATATAAGCATAATGAAAGAAAAATAAAACAATGCAGGGGGATAAGAGGACATGAATTCAAGGAAAGGAGAGATCATAGCAGCACAAAAAAGGCTTTCTGCCTAAAACAAGCCTAAGAACAGAAAACTTCACAATCTGTGAATAATTAATATCAAAAACACTGTACAATTTATTAGATAAAAATCACTGGCATTTGAGAAGATTTATGATTAAAGTTGAAGATAAGTTTTTGGGTTCTGAATACAAGTGACAAATATTTACATCATACAACTTAGCTGAGTAATATAAGCCGCATCCATTGATAAATACCTGCTCTATCTGTATTCCATAACCTTTAAAACCTGCATTGTCCCATGAAGTGTTCCGATAGATGTCGTCAACTCTGTCAATTAGCTCTATCTGTATGTATAAAAGAAAGAGAGAGAAAGATATTATGCATATCTTTACCACTCTTTGCAATGTAATATAAATTCTACAGGGATAAAACAAATCAGTTTAGAGAAAATGCCATTGTAAAAGTTTCTACCAATTACAAAAACTAGCATTAAGCTGTTACTCTTTATCACTGACAGCTCTAACAAAGAAATTATCCCTAGCCTCAAACAAAGTGTTGTTACCAGAATAAAACAATGGTACAGTTAATCCCAAATTTCAGGTATCCAATTACATATGGAACCAAAATATCAAGTAACAGGTTTTTTCAAAACTGCCATTTCAGTCAACTACAAAAATGAAAGTTAAAAGTCAATCAATTTACCTAAAATATTCCCTTCTAAGAAGTATTCTGTCTTCACTCTATCTCTTGGCAAGTACCTCAAATGCCTTCCTCAGAGAGAGGTAAGGAGCAGAGATGGACACTACTAACCCTGCTGCCCACCGTCACCGGGCAAAGTCCAGCACTGAGGACTGGGTAAAAAGCGAGCCAGAGGGGACAGCCCAGTGGCGCAAGCGGTTAAGTGCACGTGATCTGCTGCGGCGGCCCGGGGTTCGCTGGTTCGGATCCCGGGCGCGCACCAACCCAACACTTGTCAAGCCATGCCGTGGCAACATCCCATATAAAGTGGAGGAAGATGGGCACGGATGTTAGCCCAGGGCCAGTCGTCCTCAGCAAAAAAAGAGGAGGATTGGCAGATGTTAGCACAGGGCTGATCTTCCTCACAAAGAAAAAGAGTGAGCCAGAAGAATGAGGTTTCACCATTACTCCTTTCTTCTGTCCTCTGATGTGGGAAAGGGGGTAAGGTGGGTAGAGAATACTGGGGAAAGAGAGACAGTATAATAGCCAAGGATGATTCAAACTACATAAAAATAAAATGCTTGTTACCTATTTTCTCTTCAAAGAGAATATTTTATTGTTTAAAAACCAGGTAGGGGCTGGCCCGTGGCATAGTGGTTAAGTGCGCACGCTCTACTGCTGGCAGCCTGGGTTCGGATCCCGGGCGCACACTGACGCACTGCTTGTCAGGCCATGCTGTGGCGGCGTACCACATAAAGTGGAGGAAGATCGGCACAGATGTTAGCTCAGGGCCAGTCTTCCTCAGCAAAAAGAGGAGGACTGGCATGGATGTTAGCTCAGGGCTGATCTTCCTCACAAAAAAATAAAATAGAAGCCGGGTAAATGACGTTTGTTCCTGCAACCGTGAAGCACATCATAGATCTAAGAAACTGTTCTTTGCTTATAGTAATAGTAAGACTAAGAAATGCAATTTTTAAGACTAGACCTCTCATTATATTCGTATTCTTGGTGCAATGAACAAAGAAGTAAATTAAGAGCCCCTTAATACAAAACCCACATTAAGAAAGAAGCTTTTTCAAGGCAGAATCTCTCTTACTGAGGAACAAAAATTACAGTGACTTCACACACTACTCCTACTACCCTCATAATAAATTCTTTCACTTGACATGGAAGGGAAGAGAAAGAAGGGTGAGGGAGGGTACGAATAAAACACACAGAATGAGAAAAGCAAGGCAAGGAGAAAGAAGTCTTTACTGCACCAGGCTCTTGGTTCATGAATAGCTGCATTCTCTTTTATTCCCTCAAGAACAACATTTTGGTCAGTGCCAAGTTACCATGACGAATGAGGTCATGCTAACAAAAAATGTCAATGAAATATGATTCCCTTGACTTTTAAAATTACAATAGTAAATGCTCAAAAATCCAGTGCCAATACCTCTGTAACCTTTTCTTTGAATCTTTACCCTGTTAGTAATGATCACGAAAGTCCCATCTATTTCACACAGTTCCAACAATTAACAATTTTATATGACAAAAACCAAACTGACCATCTTCTCTGAAATACACATATAAGCAAAAATAATACACACAGGTTCATACAACCACTTTTTTTTCCCACTCTGGAGCATATATCCACACAGGTCACCAACAGGATCACTGCCAATATAGCAGTGTTTTCCAAGAGTTCACTTGTATAAAGAAGGAGGCCTATGTTATGAACTCTCCCTAACTTAATATGCAAAAAAATTCTAACATGCAGAAAATATTAGTTCAAAGGTAAAATGAGTTTTCAAATATGTGAAACTAAAATCTGCATACAGTAATGTAAGAGCCTCAGAGGACAGTCCTCAAATATTTTAGTAAGTAATGGAGCATCTGAAACAAATCTTGTTTCATTACATTTCAAATTATAGCAGTCTTCTCTTAAATGGAATTTGCCTATCTACACAAATTTTTTGGCCCAATTACCTTATCCAATATCACATACTTACTAGGTAATTTGTAGTTGTACTCTCTTCCCCTCTGCCCATGTATTTGTAAAAGCGATGATCTGCTACCACCAATAATTTACACGTGTTCTTCATGGGATTAGGGTCAGCTCTTCTCTTCACCCGATGAACAAGCTCTAATATGAATTTGTATGCACTATTAAATCAAAATTCACCAGAACAAGGAGTTTTTTTATAGTAACACTTTAAATCTAGCATATTTTTGAAACAAACATTATTTAAGCTTAGTATCCTTAAAGGTATCTTGAACAAAAAAAAACAATTTGGAGGAAGATAGAAAAGTAATATGAGGTTTTAAAAGGGTAGAATTCAAAATAAAGGAAAAGTGCCTCCTTAATTTTTAAAATGAGAAAACTTCAAAAAGTACTTAAAGGGCCAGCCCTGATGGCCTAGTGGTTAAGTTCAGTGCGCTCCACTTAGGCAGCCCGGATTCAGTTCCTGGGCGTGGACCTACACCACTCATCTGTCAGTGGTCATGCTGTGGTGGCGGCTCACATACAAAAATAGGAAGACTGGCAGCAGATGTTAGCTCAGGGTGAATCTTCCTCAGCAAAAAAAAAAAGTACTTAAAGTAAAACAATCACCTATTCATTGCTGAGCTATGAAGCTGTCATTTTCTTCTAGAAGTCTACAAATTAACCAAAGTAATAGTAAAAACATCAAGATAGTCAAACATTAAAAGCTAGTTTGTGTTAACAGGTCCTTCTTCTTATCAAATAATCAAATTGTTCAAGAATTTCTTTATTTATATACTAAAATGCTAGTAATATTTTCTAAGGTTTTCAAAAATGAGAACAGTAGATACTCTCACTCCTAAGGAGTATCCCCAACTCTAGTCATTTGAAACTCATCTCTTATAAACTTATTGAAAGACTGTTCTTCAACAGCATTATTGTCATTTCTAAATATCTGCAAATAAAAAATATTTTCCCTCAGATTACTCCATTTCTCCTTTCCCCAATCTTTTTTTAAGTCCAATCTTTATTGTTACCATTATTTTCTAGTGTTCTCAACTCTTACATTATACAAAAAAGAATTAACTTAAGACATTTCTAAACAAAACTCTCTTTTCAAGCCAAATACTATAGTTACTTGATAATCATGTTATTTCATCAATTAACAACCACTCCTTTTGAAGACAGCTGTAATGCTTGTTTCTTATTTGACAAGTATTTTTTAAATCTTACCATCAGGTGGCTCTCCGTCTACTAGCCCTTTTGGAAGCAACTCTTCATTATCCGCCTTGATATAACCACACACTTTTGGAGACTGCAAACGTGAAACATTCTTGATATCTTCAGATTTATAAACTAACATTCTTTTGTCTTTAGTGTCATTAATTAGTCTCCAAAGTGGCTAAAATAGAAAACATATATAATTGAGATGAAAACATAAGAATTCCTAAATATTAAGTTCTTACAACATCCTTTCTTTGTTTTTAGATAACATTCACCTCCAGGTTAAGGAAACTGACCAATCATTTTATCAAAAATAAATTATTTCAATTTTTATCAGTTTCTATGTTGGTAAATAAATACAGATTATTCATTCTTTGATTTTATCTATATATGAAAAGAGCATTATTTTGCACAAGTTACAAAGTCTTTTAGAAGATCCAGAAGAGAAAATGCATATCCTTTTCCACTCATTCAAAAATATTTCTGTAACGTCTACTATATGCTAGCACTGTTCTAGGTGATGAACCTATAGCAATAAAAGTTAGACAAGGTTTCTGTTTTTGCGGCATTTTCATTCCAGTTTCCTTCACATCTTTTTGCCATGACAGGTTTTATACACAGGAAAGAACAAACACATTTTCATGAGAGACAACTGAAAACTTGCAACAATGTACCTGAAACTTATTATTTTCAGGAAAAGCAGTTTTAAAAAAATCTTCACTTACAATATTACAAGGCCACAGTAAATCAGAACTAACATACTCAAAAGGTTACTCAAGTCAAAAGAATGTTTCTGTTTTTTCAAAACAAAGTTCTTCTCTGTAAGAGCACCTGGTCTCATCAGAACCAGCCAGCTTGTGAGACCACATCCATCACAGAAATGAAAATCAAAACCACAAGGACACCACTTCATACTCACTAGAATGGCTGTCATCAAAAAGACAGATAATAACAAGTACTGGTGAGGATATGGAGAACTCAGGACCCTCATATACTGCTGGTGAGACTGTAAAACGGAATATAAAATGCAATACACGTAAAATGGTGAGAAAGGGAAGTGCGGCCACTAGGGAAAACATTCTGGCACCTCCTCAAAAGGTTATAATTAGAGTTACCATATGACCCAGAAAGTCTGCTTCTAATATATATCCAAGAGAAATGAAAATACATGCTCAATCAAAAACTTGTTCACAAACATTCATAGCAGCATTATTCATAATAATTAGCCAAAAATAGAAACAACCCAAATGTCCACCCGATGAATGAATAAGCAAAATGTGGTATATCCATACAATGGAATATTATTTGGCAATAAAAAGAAATGAAGTACTGACACATGCTACAACATGGATGAACCTTAAAAACATTCTAAGTGAAAAAAGCCAGTCACAAAAGACCACATATTGTGTGATTCCATTTATATGAATGACCAAGCAAATCTAAAGAGACAAAAAGGCAAATCTAAAGAGAGATATAGTAGATCAGTGGTTTCCTAGGGCTAGGGGAACTGGGGAACGGGTGGCTGCTCAAGGGTACGGGGTTTCTGTTGGGGGTGATGAAAATGTGCTCAAACTGATTGTGGTGATGACTGCATAACTCTCTGAATAGACTAAAAACCACTAATTGTACACTTTAAATGGATGAATTGTATAGTATGTGAATTATATCTCAATGAAGCTGTTACATATATATACACATTGAGTAAACTAGTGATAATACTATCTTGAAGATAATGTATACATATATATATATCTTCTTTCATAATCCATGTACAAGGCAGACTTAAGAAACAATGGTTAACCCACACATCTATGGACAGCTAATCTTTGATAAAGGAGCCAAGAACATGCAATGGAGAAAAGAAAGTGTCTTCAACAAATGGTGTTGGGAAAACTGGACAGCCACATGCAAAAAAATGAAAGTAGACCCTTACCTTACACCATACACAAAAATTAACTTCAAAGGGATTAAAGACTTGAATGTAAGACCTGAAACTATGAAACTTCTAGAAGAAAACATAGGCAGTACACTCTTCGACATCGGTCTTAGCAACATATTTTCAAGCACCATGTCTGACCGGGCAAGAGAAACAACAGAAAAAATAAATGCGACTACATCAAACTAAAAAGCTTCTGCACAGCAAAGGAAACCATCAACAAAACGAAAAGACAACCTAACAATTGGGAGAAGATATTTGCAAACCATACATCTGATAAGGGCTTAATCTCCAAAATATACAAAGAACTCATGCATCTCAACAACAAAAAAACTAACAACCCAATCAAAAAACGGGCAAAAGACCTGAACAGACTTTTCTCCAAAGAAGATATACAGATGGCCAACAGGCACATGAAAAGATGTTCAAAATCATTAACTATCAGGGAAATGCAAATCAAAACTACAATGAGATATCACCTCACGCCCGTCAGAATGGCTATAATTAACAAAACAGGAAACATGTGTTGGAGAGGATGTGGAGAGAAGGGAACTCTCATACACTGCTGGTGGGAGTGCAAACTGGTGCATCCACTATGGAAAACAGTATGGAGATTCCTCAAAAAATCAAGGATAGAACTACCATATATGATCCAGCTATTCCACTGCTGGGTATCTATCCAAAGAACTTGAAAACATCAATGCATAAAGATACATGCACCCCTGTGTTCATTGCAGCGTTATTCACAATAGCCAAGACTTGGAAGCAACCTAAGTGCCCATCAAGGGACGAATGGATAAAGAAGATGTGGTATATATACACAATGGAATACTACTCAGCCATAAGAAACGATGAAATCCAGCCATTTGTGACAACATGGATGGACATTGAGGGTATAATGCAAAGTGAAAAAGTCAGAGGGAGAAGGTCAAATACCATATGATTTCCTTCATTAAGTAGTAGATAATAACAACAATAAACAAGCACATAGAGACAGAGATTGGATTGGTGGTTACCAGAGGGGAAGGGGGGAGGGAGGAGGGTGAAAGGGATAATTCGGCACATGTGTGTGGTGATGGGTTGTAATTAGTATTTGGGTGGTGAACATGATGTAATCTATGCAGAAATAGAAGTATAATGATGTACACCTGAAATTTATACAATGTTATAAACCAATGTTACTGCAATAAACAAAAAATTTAAAAAAAAAAAAGAAACAATGGTTACAAAACCTCAGGGCTAGCAGAGACCTCAAAAAGTTAACTAACCAACTCCTCGGCTACGGGGACCTTTACTTGGCCTACAAATAGGAAAAGAGAAAATTTTTTCCTTTTGGATCCAACATTTTTAAATTCATATTAATAGTTTCCTAATATAGCCAGTCTGGCATAGAAAAAGATCCCAAGGCTTTGGGATCAGATATACCTGGGTTCAAACCTCAGCTGTATTCACCTATGTGCCTTGGATAAGTACTTATCTGAGCATAACTTTCCTCATTGGGTAAACTAGTGATAATACTATCTTGAAGATAATGTAAGATACTGAATCCAGCTATATATTAAGATTTCAAAATAAAGGTAGTTACTATTACTAATAATAACAGCAAATCCTATCATCATCATCATTAAGTTGCTGGAAAAAATCATCTGATGAGTAACTAAATGAGACAAGAACGTTGACTGGATCCTAAATTGGAAAAGAAAAAACCTATGAAGGAGATTTTGAGGATGACTGTAGATTTTGACTGCATCAATTATTAGATAATACTGAATTATTTTCATTTTCTCAGGTGTGTTAATTTTATTGTGGCTATATAGAAGAACGCCTTTATTCTTAGGAGATGTGCACTGGAGCATTTAGGGGTGAAGACTCATGATGTCTGAGACTTATTTTCAACTGATTCAGGAAAAAAAAAAGAGCAATAAAGCAAACATGGCATTGTGTTAGCAGTTAATGAAGGGTTATAGGGTGTTCTTCAATCTTTCTATAGATTTGAACATTTTCAAAGCAAAAAGTTGGGGAGAAAAAAATCATCTCATGATTCAAGTTTATCCTAAACTTATTTCTATAAATAGCAAGCGATGATGATAAAATCTGTGATAGCTTACAATGTTTAATAGTGAAGTGTTAAAAATAAGATACACACATTTTCCTGTTCACACATGTCTAAGATTTTAGCGCAGATGAACAATGATTTTTATCTCAAGGTAAGTGCAAGTAAGGATTATACAATAAAAAATATAAAAATCACCATTCTAAGTAATAAACCACTTTTTCAATTAAAAAAATTATTAATAATCATGCAAAAGTCCTTCAATAAACCTGATGAGTTTACTTTTAAGTAAACATCTCACAGTGAAATATTAATTATAGCCATTTTTGTACTTAGTGAAACAAGGAGGTATGGATGAAAACAGAATTCTTAATTCTCCCAAAGGAAGTTATTTGGAAAAGTGAGGAATCTGAACAAATGTAACTTGGATTTTTTGCTGAGGAAGATTAGCCCTGGGCTAACATCTGTGCCCATCTTCTTCTACTTTATATGGGATGCCACCACAGCACGGCTTGACAAGCGACGCGTCGGTGTGCACCCGGGATCCGAACCTGCAAACCCCAGGCCTCCGCAGTGAAGCACGCGCACTTAACCACTACGCCACTGGGCCGGCCCCTCGCTATTTTTTTTAATGTATTTTTTTACCCCCAGAGGAAGATCTGCCCTGAGCTAACATCTGTTGCCAATCTTCCTCTTTTTGCTTGAGGAAGATTTGCCCTGAGCTAACATCTGTGCCAATCTTCCTCTATTTTGTAAGTGGGTCGCCGCCACAGCATGGCCTCTGATGACTAGTATAGGTCTGCGCTCGGGAACCAAACCCAGGCCGCTGAAGTGGAGCACATCGAACTTAACCACTAGGCCATGGCACCAGCCCCTAAATGCACATATTTTGAATTAAGAATTAACGGATTATTCTAAGGAAATAAGCAGACACATGCACTGTGGCAGAAACAATATTGTCCATTCCCTACACTGGCTTCCCTTCCTAAGCACCAGAGAAGATGACCTTTCCCAGCGTCCTTTGCAGGTAGGTCAGAGACAACTGTTCTAGAACATGGGTGGAAGTGATGTAGGCCACTGCCAGGCCTGGCCCTTAAAAAGCAAAAAACCCTGTGGATTTTCTAGTTCTGTTTCCCTTCTGTGGCAACCTCAGAGGACAAGTGTCCAGATGTCAAAGCTACAAGGTAGAGGAGGACCACCCAACCCACATCAACCTTGATGAGAGTGAGCAATGACCCTCTGTTGTGTGCAGCTATTGAGTTGTGGGAGCAGCTGAGGCGAAAACTTGCCACAGCCTAGACAGAGTTAGCTCCCTGCGGTTTCCTAGACTATTCACCATTACCAAGACTATCCTAACTATAAACTGTTTTTTTTTTTTTTGTGAGGAAGATCAGCCCTGAGCTAACATCCATGCCAATCCTCCTCTTTTTGCTGAGGAAGACCTGCCCTGAGCTAACATCTACTGGCAATCCTCCTCCTTTTTTTTTCCCTTTTTCTCCCCAAAGTCCCAGTAGATAGTTGTATGTCATAGTTGTACATCCTCCTAGTTGCTGTATGTGGGACGCCGCCTCAGCATGGCCAGAGCAGTGTGTCGGTGCGCGCCCAGGATCCGAACCCAGGCTGCCAGTAGTGGAGCACGCACACCTAACAACTAAGCCACGGGGCCAGCCCCAAGACTATCTTAACTAAATGCATGCACCAAAAGGTGTACCCATAGCTGTTCACTACAGCATTTTTTATTTTGAAAATTAGAAACAAAACAATTGAGTACCAATGGAGGACTGCCTAAATAAATGGTACAATGTGTCAATGAACCAACACAGTATTTATTAAAAATCCCTAATTTACATATTAATTTATTAACATGGAAAAAATGTTCATAATTATATTGTTCAATGAAAAATGCAAGAAGACAAACTGTACATATTGTATGGTCCTAATTTTATAGAAAAAAAACAGTCGTATAACTACTTATTAGTGTATATATGCATAGAAAAAATTTGGAAGGATAGTCATCAAAATGTTAATAGTAGTTATATCTCCCAGTAGTGAGATTTCAAGTAATCTTTCTATTTTCTGATTTTTCCAGAGACAAGTGTTTTTATAAAATAAAGACACCTTTTCTTTGTTTGTTTGTTTTTGTTTTTTGCTTGGTTTGTTTTTGGTGAGGAAGATTGGCTCTGAGCTAACATCTGTTGCTGATCTTCCTCTATTTTGTATGTGGGACACCGCCACAGCATGGCTTGATGTGCGGTGAGTAGGTCCGCACCTGGGATCCAAACCCGCAGACTCCAGGCCTCAGCCGCCAAAGCCAAGCACATGAACTTAACCACTATGCCACTGGGCTAGCCCCTAAAATAAAGGTACTTCTAAAAAAATGAATTGATTGAAAGAATAAACAAATTTAAGACTTGACTTATTTGCCTATTCTAGAGTGACTGCTCATTTACTTCGTGCTAATTTTCAGACTCTTTCTGGTATGCCAGACTCCCCCAAAACACTGACATTAGATAGTCTAAACATTAACAGACCAAACACACTGCAAGGCCAGTGACAAACATTTCCTTTTCACAATGATAGACAGACAAATGACTAATGGCCATGCAGTTTGGATGTTATTAAAATTTATAGTATTTATAGCACCAACATCCTGTCTTACTCCTAATCAGCACTCAAATATACTTGAAACTTTCATTCTGATCAAGCTTAATTACAGTTTTCCCAGAGGTGTTCCGTTTTGGCAATATTACCACTACCCAGAGTATTCTCATTTTCCTAGAAACACTTCAATCCACAACTCTGTAGCAAATGTTTTGTTGTCTGGACTAGTATCTGACACATGGCTATGTATCTCACACAAATGTGGCTAGTTTGGTCGTTTTCTAATGTTAGTACTTCAAGGCGAGAGTGGCGAGAGCCTGAGTTTCCTACAGTTTCTCTTTTAACTTCTTAGACTATGAACTATGACCTTTTATTGATCTTGCATTTCCAGAACACCTAGGAGGAAAAAGGAGAAACAGAGAAATAAGACTTCACCTTCATCTTTGAGAACATCTACACTTTCAGTAGGATTATTCGAGAAAGAATAAAGGAAAAATGAGGCAGAAGGGAAAGAAAGTTTTTTCTTCCTATTATCCACCCCACATGTCACTTTCAATTATGGTGCTTAGAAATATAGGGTGCATCTTATCACAGCTTCTTAGATACAAAAATTATCTTCTTTTTTTAAAAAAAAATCTACTTTCCTGGTAAAAACTTTAAATACAAGAAGAAAAGAAGTATAATGAAAGACCTTTGTCTTCTTAAAAGAACTGAGAAACAATTTTTTAAAAATCAGAGATATATGCTCATGAAAAAAATTCACATGTAAATTTACCTCTATATTATACTCTGCCCCATCTGTGTTGATTCTTATTGTAATATCATCATCTCCTATGTGGGCTAGAACCCTCGAGTCAGGCTCACCTTAAGAGAAAAAAAAATATTCATTATTAAAAAATACTTAGATCAAAAAATAAACTATGCACTAGTATCAATAAAAATCAACCAAGCCCTTCATCAGAGTGGAATCTGTGTAGGTACTGTAGAGATCTACAACCAAGAAACACAGGCCCCAGAAAACAGCTAGATGTTCTCACTCCTAAGGAGTAGCCTCAACTCCAGTCATTTGAAACCCATCTCTTTCCCTCAAACCACTTATGAGAATTACCCAGTGTGTGTTATAGAACAAAACAAAGTGTAGATTTTCTTCTGGAATAACTTTACCCACTTTTGGGTAAGAAAGAACTAAGAGGGGGCAGAAAGCATGATTTGGAGTATACAGGTCTTGAACTACACTACTTGGGGATTTTAATGCCATTTCTTTTCTCTTATCGCAGAAAAAGTTCCAGAAGCAAACTCAATTGCTTATTTGATATATTTTCTTAAATAAATACATAACATGAACATAAAACCAATTATTTTATCTCCTAGCTTCCCTGTTTAACATCTCATAAGGGAAGCCTACAATCCTTCCCTGGAGACAAGAGAAGGTTAAATTCTTATCACTTGAAAGGAAATTCATTTTAATCATCAAAATAGCCAGTTACTATGACATGCTAGATAATACCCATTTCCTCCTGTTTGAATGTTTCTGCTTCCAAACTTACACAGCTCTGATAAAACAGACAAAGAATAGCACTTCTCTGACACCCCTTCCTCCCTTGGCCCTAAACATAGGCAATCAAGTTAGATCTGGACACCCAACACCCCAGACACCAGGGCAACCCAGCACGGTACTCACCAACCACGTGTCCCCTGAAGAAGTCCTGCCACTTGACGGCGTACTCGCTTTCATCTTTACCATCTACCACCATGACTTTGAAATTCTGGGAAAAGCGTTCAGTACTTGATGTCAGGTATAATTTAAAATGCCTAAGGAAAGAATGCATCCATATTTTACTCTAAGCACATAAAATAGAAGCCTAATTTTCATTTAATTAAACTTTCTTAAAGAAGTTGACAGAATGGGGCTGGCCCCGTGGCTTAGCGGTTAAGTGCGTGCGCTCCGCTGCCGGCGGCCCGGGTTCGGATCCCGGGTGCGCACCGAGGCACCACTCCTCCAGCCATGCTGAGGCCGCGTCCCACATACAGCAACTAGAAGGATGTGCAGCTAAGACAGACAACTATGTACTGGGGCTTTGGGGGAAAAATAAATAAATAAAATCTTTAAAAAAAAAAAAGAAGTTGACAGAAGAGTTGACATTAATAAAACACTATGCAAATTATAACTACTGTTTTACTAGGTACGTAGAGCATAATATCTCCTGTAAAGACAAACCGACTAATTTCTTTAGTTGTAAGACCTTGGCAGACCAAAAGAAACTAGAACTGGGGGAAAAAAGATTCAAAGACAAGAAAACACACACATCTGGATAGTGTAAGGCCTGCTTGTCTTAAAAATTTATTAAAAACTGGTATTATTAGGGGGCCGGCCCCGTGGCGTAGCGGTTAAGCGTGCACGCTCTGCTGCTGGAGGCCCTGGTTCAGATCCCGGGCATGCACCGACGAACCACTTGTCAGGCTATGCTGTGGCGGCGTCCCACATAAAGTGGAGGAAGATGGGCACGGATGTTAGCTCAGGGCCAGTCTCCCTTGGCAAAAAAAAAAAAGAGGAGGACTGGCATGGATGTTAGCTCAGGGCTGATCTTCCTCCAAAAAAAAAACTGGTATTATTAGATACCATTTACTGAACACCTACTCAGTGCTAGATGCTCTGTATATGTTATCTCCACTTTCTACAGTAAAAATTGAGGCTTGGAGGCTAATCAACATACTCAAGGTTACACAGCTAGTAAATGGTGAAACTGGAAATTGAACTTGGTTTATTTCAAAAGCCTGTACTATGCCTCTAGCAATGAACCTGGTTTTAGTCCTGTGCAAAATTAATATATGCTACTTTCTACATTTAAAAGCATTCATGCTTTTCTTCTCCTTCTAAAGAGAACTTATCTTGAAAAAAATTAATCCACAATTACCATGAGGAAAATAAATATAAGGTATCCAACAGAGACATTAAAATACACACTCTAGTTCTTTAGTTGGCTTAATATTCTTTTGTTTTCTACAAGTTTCAGTCCTCACATAAAAAGTAGGCATGGTGAACAAGAATTTTTCAATTATTATTTACAGAGCCCTTCCAATGTGCCCACGAACACCAGAGATAAAGAAAGGTATGTGTTTCATCTCAGCTACAGGAACAAATTTTTTCAGCTGTGGTGTTGAAAATATGAAATGTTACCTCCCCACGGGTTTGCATAAGTGTAAACTGCCAGAAAGAATCTAGACTAGGACTGTCTCCATGGCAACAAATATTTTTAACTTTTTGAGCATAACAAGGTAATTTTAGTTTCCTTGTGGTTTTTTAATGGTCATATGAAAAAGACAATAGAACATTATTTCAGAAAACCTTGGAACATTTTCTCCTGCTATCCTAAAACATGCCTTCCCACACATTCCCAGTTATGATGTTCCTCCCATCAGTTATGCGGAGAACTCTGGGGGGGGAAAGCATCTCTATTATAAATGCTTTATTATTTAGTTTTAGACCTCTCTAGGAGTCTCAATATTACTTTTACTTAATGTTCTTTCCAGAAAAAAAAATCACTGGAATTGCACTCTTTGTTTTCTACACTAATCTGCTCTTTTGTAAAGATAAAGACAAAGTGATGGTAAAATCCCTGTTTTTTGAGTTTCCAATCTTCACTTTTGAGCTATAAAACCTCCAACAGGGTATCAGTCAGAATTTATAGTTTAATTTACCCTCCCAAAATTATGTGAAGTCATGTACTTACAGATTTCTTTTAACATGTTCATTTACCTTCCTGACTTCTGATTTAAGGATTTACAGTACTACAAACTGGTATTAATCCATCTGAATTAATATTACTTTCATATCTATTTCTTGTATATATTGCAAAATGATCACAATAAGTCTAATTAACATCTGTCACCATATATAGTTACAAAATTTTTTTTCTTGTAATAAGAACTTTTAAGATCCACTCTTAGCAACTTTCAAGTACACAATACAATATTATTAACTATAGTCATCATGCTGTACATTACATACCCATGACATATTTATTTTATAACTGGAAGTTTGTACCTCGTATCTATTTTTAATGATCCATTTAGCTGGGTATATATCACTTTCAAATCTTTATCAGTTCTAGCCCCCTCCTAAAACTTTGAGATATTTCACTTTTAAGAGGAACAAATATCTTTTTTTAAAAAATCATAACATTACCAAAAAAGTATCTTTTTTGTAACTTTTATCTGTAACTTTTTCATTACTTTAAAATAACAGTATTTCTTGATTTATGAAAAAGAGGAAATGTAACTTCTAGACAAATTTCAAAGTTTTTTTTTTCATAAAATTACTTTTAACTCATCATACATGTTTCCATGCTTTTTCAACTGCTAACAGTCACATCCAAATTTAATTTTATGATCTTGGTTTAAATTACTTTGCCTTCCACTACTATCTAAAAACACAAAATCTAATCATTTACCATGACCATGAAGTCACATGCGGCTTCACCTAGGTTAAGTTCAGCCCTATACAAACTGATCATTTCAGGTATCCCAATTTTTTTTTTTTTTTTTTTTAAAGATTTTATTTATTGCCCCCAAAGCCCCAGTAGATAGTTGTATGTCATAGCTGCACACCCTTCTAGTTGCTGTATGTGGGACTCGGCCCCAGGATGGACAGAGAAGTGGTGCCTCAACGCGCACCCGGGATCCGAACCCGGGCCGCCAGCATCGCAGCATGCGCACTTAACCACCAAGCCACAGGGCCGGCCCCTCAGGTATCCCAATTTTTTTTCTTTAAGTTCAATAACATAGTAGAACATAAAGGAAAGGTATATATGGGCTTTGGAGTCGGACAACCCTTGCTCAAATCATGCCTCCATCACTTACTCGCTGTTTGATCTTGGCCTTACCCTCTGAACCTAAGTGTCTTCATCTACAAGTGGAAATAATACCACCCACTAACTGAATGGTTCTCAGGGTTAAATGAAATAAACTATTCTAATGTACCTGGTACAAAGTTCTCATACTGTTAGATACATTTCCCATAAACATTTAAGATGGAAATTCTGTAAAATAAATTACAAATTTCTCTGCTTTTTTACACAGAGAGAAGATAATAAGCAGATTTTGTTTAACATTTTCTTAATGAATCAATGTGATCTATGAAACATGAAAGAGAAGTATGTAAGGTTATGGCAGTATCTGCCCCTATAGCAAGGAGTCTATAAGCCACCTCAAATCTACCTTTAAAAGAAACCCAGAAAGCCAAATTTCAAGTTCTTATCATTTTATAGTTTTCCCCTCTCTTCCTTTGGTCCTACTCATTTCTTGCTACTATATCTACTCCTTCACCAAACTCCCCATCAGTGTAGGAGAAATAACACAAATTTTGGAGTCAGACTTGTGTTTAAATCCTTTAACTTCCATTTACTAGCTAAGTGACTTGGGGCAAGCTACCTAACCTCTCTGAGCCTCAATGTTTTTTGGTGTTTTTTTGTTTGGTCTTCAAATAAGGAATAATAAAAAGTATGCAAGGCCAGCCCGGTGGCATAGCCGTTAAGTGCGCATGCTCTGCTGCGGCGGACTGGGGTTTGCAGATTCGGATCCCAGGCGCACACCGATGCACTGTTTGTTACGCCATGCTGTGGCGGCATCCCACATAAAGTAAAGGAAGATGGGCACGAATGTTAGCCCAGGGCCAATCTTCCTCAGCAAAAAGAGGAGGATTGGCAACGGATGTTAGCTCAGGGTTAATCTTCCTCACACACACACACAAAAAGGTATGCATAGTACGGTGAGAATTAGAGATAATATATGCAAAGTGCCTAAGTAAAGTACACAGTAAATTACACAAAATAAGCATCTGATAAACTATAGCTATTATCACCACTGTGCTCAAATTTGCTATAGATTTGGAAACTAGATAACCAATATTGCAATATTTTGACAGAAAATCTAACAGAAAGAAATTATTCAAAAATAATCTAAGGATGATAGCAATAACTAGGAAAAATAAAAATAGATATAGTAAGAAATATTTGCATAAAATATCACTAACACATGTGATAAATATACTAAGTGCTACTACAATTCAATAACCAAAAGGATAACCCCACAGAAAAATGGTAAAAGGAGATGAAAAGGCAGACAGAAAAATAAAACAAATGACTTACAAATACATGAAAAGATGCTCAATTTCACACAAAATGAAAATCAAAACAACTATGAGATACCATTCCCTTTCAGAGGGACAAAAGTTAAAGGCTGATAAAACCTAGTAATGACCAGGGTAACAGGAAACAGGTAAACTCACATACTGCTGATAGAAGAATAAATTGGCCTAACATCTTTAGGAGGAAACACAGTAATACCAATAAACATTTATAATATGTATATCCTTGACCCACCCTCCTTTCAGGAATCTATCCTATAAAAATACCTAGACAAGGTATATATACAAAGATATTCACTGGAGCATTGCTTGTTATAGGAAAAAAAAATCACTTTGGTTAAACAATATCCATCTACAGGGTGCTCGTCAATAAACTGTTACAATTCCATGCAATAGGAATATTTATGCAGCTGTTAAAAATGAGGTAAATCTATGTTATCTATATCACCTACACATACACAGATCTATATGCAAAAAATCATGCATTAAAATCTTTTGGATGTTTATACAGGAATCCTCTCTGGGTCTGGAAAGAGCGACTGAGTTAGGAAGAAGTGAAAACTTCACACACCCCCTGTAGCTTGTTTTTTAAACCAGGTGCATACATTACTTTTATTTTTAAAAATACTTGTTGGAGAAGGCCTCTCCTACGAATAAAGAATAATTCAGCTCATTTATATTCTCCCTGTGTTTGTTTTTTGATATTAGTTAAGTTCCCTAAAAAGACTAGAAAGAGGCCTGCAATTACCTAACAGATTTACATCTGCAAAACATAAGAGATATTAAAATTATTGCCCAAATAGACCACATCTATCAATTTATACTATGACACAAGAGGAATTCAATGTAGAAAGAGCACTGAATTCTAGACCCAGCTCACCACTAGGCTGTGGGGTCTTGAACAAATCCTTTATCTCTAAACCTCAGTGTCTTCATATACAAAATAAAGGCAGTATTTAGTATACGTTTGATGGTTCTAAGGCAGCACAAAAAACTTAAGGTTTTTTAAGGTTTATAATTATTCAATTAATTAAAATTCTTTGTTAGAATTCCATAAACATATTACCATCATTAACACCTTTGGAATACCCATTTACTTTTTTTAATATTCATCAGTATAAATTTCAGAATAAGCAATACATTATATAAGAATCATGACAGACTGTAATTATATCAATTACAAATCCTTAAAATGTAACTTCCTAAGACTTCAGTAAACACCCTTATTTTTCTGCTTTTGCCAAACCAAGTCCCCCAATGCCCCAACATTTTTCTATGAATAATTCAAATTACCTTTTCAAGGCTGAAAAAGTCAGTAGTGTTTCTAAATGTGTTGAGGCCTGCAGATCCCTTTTTCTTACGGAGTGCTGTTGGATATTGGATAAAGAGAGGATGTCGTAGTCTGAGAGCAAAGAATCAAGCTTTTCTGAAATAAAGGTAAAAAGGTTATTAACAACTAAACCTACTAATCAATTGATATATCATTAAAATGAGAGTCAGATGACAAACTCTTCCTGATATAACACATTATGAAGTGCCCAGCAGCACCTATGAAGTATTCTTACCAAAAACAAAAAAAAAAACACAAACTAACCTGACTCTAATCAAGATCGAACTTCCAGTTTTTAAAAAAACATCAAGGGATTAGATGTTGTCAAATTAAATAACAACCTTAGGAACCAATCAGCCACACCTAGAATGTTAGAATTCCTGCAGAACAAATGACCCAATTTCTTGAGGAAATAAATGGCATGGCAAAGAAAGGAGGGGCAGAGACATAACAGACAAGAATACAGCAGGCAAGCCAATGTGTGACCTTTTTGGATTCTAGGACAAACAAATCAGTTGTGAAAAGATATTTGTGACAATTAGAGAAATCTGAACATGAGTCCATATTCATATCAGATACCAATAATTTCAATATCTCAAAGAGTATCATATTATGCAATGAGCTAACTTCTAAATTAAAGTCATGTCTTTATATATAGAATTTCTAAGATCAAGGTGGTCAACTTGACCTGCTCATTGCCAACCTGGGCTACATCAATTCCTTATCAGTCAATGGGTAGTAAGAAAAAGCAACAAATGTATTAATGGCCTGAGCAAAGAGAAACTGGGGAAGTAAATCTTTTACAGAAAAATCACATATTCCAAATCAAAGAGCAAAAAAGCGGTAATATCCCAGGCCAGCCCCGGTAGCCTAGCAGTTAAGTTTGGCATGCTCTACATCGGTGGCCCAGGTTTGGTTCCTGGGCACGGATCTACACCACTCCTCAGTGGCCATGCTGTGGTGGCAGCTCACACACCAAACAGAAGAAGATTGGCCACAGATGTTAGCTCAAGGTGAATCTTCCTCAGCAAAAAAAAAAAAAAAAAAAAGTGGTAATATCACATCACTGCTGCCCTCAACAGATACAGCAGAGTATCAATCCACTGGACACCAGGAAGTAGAAGTGATAAGACCAAACTAATCCCTAGGAAAAAATCAAGATTATTTTACCAGACTGACCTGGAACCCACGAAAATCAAACAGGCACTGCCCTAAAGACAGAACAAGCACAAAGAAGTTTTTATTTAGTATAAAGCAGGAATAAACACTATAAAGTATATGCTACCACTACAAGTCACTTTTCAACAACAGGAACTCTGCTGTCTCTTTCAAAATCAGGAGAATTTTTGGAAGACAATTTTGGTGACTTAAGTCTCTGTAGAAATTGTCTAAAAATATTTGAGCTGACGTTTTCCTTTTCTCTCAACAAATATCACTGCAGAAGCAATGGTATTCAAAATCATTCCACTGGACTTAGAATGTCCTCCAAATATAGTAGCAGGAGCTTAAAATTCAAGTGTATTACTACTGAGGTTAAATATGCTCACAAAACCATTTTTAAAAGAAAGAATCAACCCAATACTCTTCTTCCACTTCCCCTAAATATTCTCAATTGGTTCATTCATCAATTCATTTGTTCACTGCTATGTGCCAGGCACTTGTCTAAGTCCTGAACACAAAGTCCTTACCTAATGCAGCACTCACGTTAGTAGGGAGAGACAGACAATGCACAAGAAAATATATGTCAGTGCTGTGGACATTAAAGCAGGATAGCAGAGAAAGAGAGTGGGAAGGGCCAGTTTATACAGATTAATCCAAGAAGGAAAAATGCCTCACTGTTACAGAATATTTAAGCAAACCTGAAGAAAGCAAGGGGTATGCATGCTGCTATATGATTAAAGTATATCTAACCAAAGTTCACTCAAGGTTCTCACTGCGGATAAGATTAAATAAAGTGGAAGCAAATTTCACACTTACTGGGTACCACCCATTTTCTGTTAAGAAAATTTCCTTTTAAATTTAATCCAGAGGAAAGCTGTTTCAGAAGGCATCAATCACTTTTATGCCACTTTTATTTATCTTCTGGCGGTGATCTGACCTTACTAATTATAATGCTTAGCGGCACCAATGAAAAACCTTCAAGAAGCTTACCATTTATTCAACAATTTTTGAGTGTTTGTTTTCTACAAGACACCATGCTCAATGTTTTATTATGTTATCTTCACAAACATCCCTAGGGTATTAATCCCCACTTTACAGATGAAGAAACAAAACTCAGAGAGAATAATATGACAAAGCTAATGCAGCACAGAACTGAGATTTGAACTTGGGCCTGTCTGCCTGAAAACCCGAAGTTTTACTGATGTCATACTTTTGAAACTCCTCAAAAAAAGCCTAGCTCTTCTTGGACCTTCTACTTCTTGGCTTCCTACTTTTTGACATGTCAATCAAACATGACCTCACTTCCCTCTGAAGCCTTTTGTTTATATCTTTCTTCTGGCACTTTTGAGTTATATTTTTGTCTGATCTCACAAACAGATTGTAAAATTGCCAAAAGGGAGCTCTGTTTTATTCACAGTAACCTTACCTCATAATAGCCAGTACAGAACCTTGCACAAAATAGCAATTCTATGTCCACAAATTACACCGATTCTCAATGCTGAGATGCTGATATGATCCTTTAGCTCTTCAACATTACTGATACAGGTTAGTACATGAATTCAGTTTCATTCAAGATCATAATCACTCCTACTGACTGGGAAACTTAACCTCAATACTGTAGTTTCATTGTCAATTATATAGGCTAGGCGTTCTCACAGTGTGGTCCCCACACCAGCAGCATCAACATCACCTAGGAACTTGATAGAAAGGCCAATTTTCAGGCCTCCTCTCAGTCCTACTCAATCAGAAATCCTCAGGGTGAGGCCCAGCAATCTGTGTTTAACATGCCTTCCAGGTGATGCTGATGCACACTCAAGTTTGAGAACCACTGAACTAGGCTCAAGTAAGGAAATAGCTCAAAGTGAAGAAAAAACCTTTAAGCACAAAGATGTTCACTGTTCAGCCTTGCATTATTTTTAAGAATAAAAACTGGAAACCAAGTAAATTAATAATTGAGAAACAAGGAAGTTATAATACTTTCAAATGACAAAAAAAATCTGCAATCATTTAAAATGCTGTTAGCAGCAGGTTTTTAAGAACACGGGAAAATATTTATCCTATGATATTAAAGGTAGATAAAAAACTATTCGTATTGCATGATCTTAACTATGTATAAAAATAGGCCTAGGGGAAAACAAGAGCAAAATAGTAACATCATTGGTTATCTCTTGGTATATTTTCAATAATAAGCACTTTTTAAATGTATCTTGCTAAAGCACTTTAAGATACTTAACTAGTATGTTTCAATTGTAATTTATCCACTTTTAGTATATAGATTATCTCAAATTGGAAGTCCTGGAGCCACTACAAAAAAAAGAAAAAAAAATTTTATTTATTTATTTTTCCCCCAAAGCTCCAGTAGATAGTTGTATGTCACAGCTGCACATCCCTCCAGTTGCCGTACGTGGGACACGGCCTCAGCATGGCCGGAGAAGCAGTGCGTCGTGTGCAGTGTGCGCCCCGGGGACCGAACCAGGGCCGCCAGCAGCGGAACCCACGCACTTAACCTCTAAGCCACGGGGCCGGCCCTAGAGCCACTACAAATGGTAAAAGTGCTCCCCTTGTCCAACAAACTGACCTCCTGCTCTGGCTGCTGTCCTTTCACTAGCAAGTAACCTCTCAGATACTCGGTTATTTTATCACACTTCACTTCCAAAATTCCAACCACTGGTAATCCAGTTTTCTATAGCTTTTTCAACAGAATTTATATTTCCCCTACTTCCCAAGAGTTTATCCTTTATCCATGTCCAAATCTCTCAATAAATTTAAACCACTTAACTATCTTTCTTAGCTCAGTGTATGGTTATAATCTCTTTTGTAAAAACTCCACAATGGCTGCCCAGCACTCTAGAATGAGAACTTCCTTGCTCTCTACAAGTTGCTCCAGCAATCACCAGAAACAAGTGAGCTTTTCTCACTTCAGCTGGCTACAAACACCAATTAGAAAACAACAGACACAATTTAAAAGGCCAGACTCAAGTCCTGTATTGTTTAGGTGTCCCCTACCCACCCCTCCCTGCTCTTCTCGGCCATGTGCTACCGTTTCCCTCACTTGGCCTCCCCTGTCTAGTCGTCCTTAGAGACCCTACCCTTCCCCACTGCCTTTTTGTGTGTTTGTGTGTGTGTGTGTGTGTGTGAGGAAGATCAGCCCTGAGCTAACAACATCCATGCCAATCCTCCTCTTTTTGCTAAGGAAGACTGGCCCTGGGCTAACATCTGTGCCCATCTTACTCCACTTTTATATGGGACGCCGCCACAGCGTGGCCTGACAAGCGGTGCATCAGTGTGCGCCCAGGATCCGAACCCCGGCCGCTAGCAGCGGAGCCCACGCACTTAACTGCTACGCCACAGGGCCGGTCCCAGCCTGACTGCTTTTCTATCTTTTCCACCCTCATGTCCACCCCTCCTTTCTTGAACACACATTCTGCACTTATTTTTCCCCTTTCTACCAGACCCCACCTATTCATTTATTCAAGAAATACTTATTGAAAACCTCCTACCTTCCAGGCACTATGGATGTAATGCAGAGAAAGAGAAATATATTTCTGATATTGTGACATTGAGGGAAAGACCATCACACAAAAAATTATTATAAAGTACATCAAGTGCCAAGGGAGAGGAAGTCGCAGGAAGTTATGGGAGGACACAGCAGGAGCGTCAGTGACCTCTGCCTGGCCAGCCAAGGAAGCTTTCCCAGGTAAACAGTATTGAGGTAAAGACCAAAAGGACAAGGCAGCCAACAGAAGGGAAAGAAAGGAGAGGGCTCTAAGTAGAGGGTATAACAGACGCTGAGGTTCACAAGAAGTACAGAACATAATACTCCAAGAAATGAAAGCAACTCAGTGAGGGTGGAGTGCAGAAAGGCACAGAAGACTGAGGAGCCGTGAGGCTAGAGAGGCAGACAAAGGTCTGGTCATGAAAGGCCACAGAACTAA